GTCTGTTGCACTCAATGGAGCTTAACAAATGCCACAAGACAGCATATAACTTTCTGTGTGTATTCAACTCACCTCCACACACATTATACAAGCATCTCTGGAACAGAGACAGTGTTCTGCCTGTCTTCATGGAGTGGAAGTCTCTTAGCTGAGCTCCACAAGCCTGGCCAATCCCCTTCATTACTCCTGCACATACATCCCTGCAGCACAGGCCCCCTGGCTGTCCCCAGCCGAGAATTCACTTACCAGGAGTCTGTTGAGCCTATTCCCAAACCTCTTTATGCCACTTTTTCTTTTTTAGTACAATTTAATAGTCACTGAAATATAAATGCAGAAAGAGTTTTGATGTCTACAAAATTAATCTAAGTGCTCTACAACAGCAATTTTGAAATTGTGATCTTAGATGACACCTGGGTCACTGAGACCATTTCAGGAGGTCTGCAAGGTAGAAATTAGTTTTATTACAATATTAAGATGTTAAAAGCTTTTTCTCATTTTTAGTAGCCACAGAAGGTGTGATAATGTGTGCTGTATAGTCTTTAGTTTTCTAGAAATTTCTAAGGTAGAAGTTTAGGGTATCAATATGTTTTCAGAAATATGTTCTCAGGATTTCAACTGAGTATTTACCATCAAACTTATATAATGCTCATATAATCTATTATCTAATCATTATTTTGAAATCCTGAAGATCTGCAAAAGCGTAAAAAGTTTATTTTGGAAAAGTTATTTTTCATAAAAATACATTTCATGTTAACATGCGATGACCGTATTTTTATTATTTTAAATGAATAACTATTTTTAAATTTGTTTTAATTTTAACATGATAAATACCAATAGGTATAGCCACATAAGCAAAAGACAGTATTAAGGAGTCCTAGGATCCAAAAGTTTAATTATTACTCAGAAAGATGTATTACAAATGAAAAAAATTAAGAGGTTAAATTAGGTGTGTGAATTTAAAAAGCAGGATTCTGTACATGGACTGATATGGAAATGTCTTTTAAATTCTTGCTTTATTTCTTAAAAATTAAAACTAATTAACAGATGTATAAATTCTTTTACCCAGCAATTCCACTTCTGAGAATTTCTTCTGTAGTTATACACATGTACAAAATGCCATTTGTATGGTTTTCTACTGCAGCACTGTACGTACTGACAAAAATACTGGAAGCAACCCAAGTTGGGGAAGAGAGGGAAGCAACATATGTTGGTTAAAAATTTACTGTACTTCCATATTCTGGAGCAACATGCAGCTATAATAAAAGGATGATAAAAGTATTTTATGTGCTGATATGTAAAGATCTAATGTAGCTGCTAGGTGAAAAAAGCAAGATGCTAAACAATGCGTCTAAAATGCTAACTTGTAGCATTTGTAAAAAAGGGGGTTAAGGGTAAGGTGTTTCACTGTATACTGAGTGTGCACATGTGTGCAACTTTTTAAAACTATTTTTTTAAATCCTTTTGATTTTTGAGCTATGTGAATATATAGCCTCGTGAAAAAACTTTAATAAAACAAAGGAAACGAGAAATCGCAGGTGATACATGTGGTGTGATTTTTATATACAAACAATTTGCAAGTCTCATTAGGGGACCTAGAGATCCAAAGAAAAAGCCTTGGCCTTAAATCAAAGTTTTTGCAAATAAAAATACATGCACGTGTTTTTAAGGTAAATGAACTGTTTAAAACATGGATTTTTTTTTTTTATTCCACACTTTTGGCTGACACTTTTTATTACTACTTAGTGCTGAAGAGCCTGTAGGGACCCAGCAGTAATCAAGGATAAATTCTGGATGGTCGCCTTCTCATTCTATCAAACCCAGGGCTCTCCCAGGCCTGATGATGGAGGAAGGTAAGGAGACCTGGGAACACAGAGCATTCAGATCTCGAGTTTCCAAGGCCAGGAATTTGGTTTCCCATGGCCGAGCATGCCAAGCTCTCTCTCGAGGCTGATTCTGTGGCCACCCTTCTTCCCACTGTGATGGGAGTCACAGAGGGCCGACAGGGGGCTCTGCCTCTGGATCTCAGCTGGGCCCAACAAAGGGTCCCCTCTGGAAGCCTCAGTGATCACAGTAAGGATGGTGGGCGACAAGACTTGCGACTTGGAGACCTTGTGGTGAGGCGGGCCTGTTTGTCCCCGGGGAGGGCCTGAGGCCCCTGGCTGGCAGAAGACTCTGGACTCTTTATCTGCCGGCATTCTGCCAGCCCATCAGCCTCAAGGTCAGAGAAGTCCTCTCTAGACACCTAGTGAGTCCTGGCCAGGCAGCAGCATGACCCTTCCTCATCCCACTCCCCAGGGAGTCTGGAAAGAGAAAAAAGTAGAGAATTCCTCTAGAAGAAACTTCTTTCCACACAAGCAAAGACTCCCATCCACCCAAATAAGCACAGGGACAACTGGCTCCTTCCTCTTCACATTTTTTCAAGGAAAAGACTAGGATTATTAGCAATTACATCATCACATTTAGGAATAATAATGGGAACTTTCTCTGGTTTTCACCGTAAGTCTCATGGCCGTTAGCAAGCAATATGACTTGGGGACACCCACTCACCTCTTTAAATCTAGTTTTTTAAGTTGTAAAACAAAGGGGCTAGACTCAAAGCTTCCCAAAGTCCCTCCAGTCCAACATCCCATCGTCTGTGGTTCTGCAAAACACCTAAGCATTTTCTTCAACATACTTTCTTCAGACATCAAGTGCAAACAGGCTGAATTATTTTGGCAGGGTAGGGAGACGGTCCCAATTCCCTGACATACACAATCAACTCACAGCACTACTACTTAGATCCCAAGATCCTGTAAATATTGAACATGGACTGAGGTTCCTCCTGGAATACAGTGGGCTGTGAGCAGGAAGAGGGGAAAGAGGAAGAAGGTGGCAAGGGTTTGAAATCCAGTGACTGGTATATATTGTCCATATGTGCACACACACACACAGAAGCACACACTTACATATTTAGTTCTTCCTGCCTATAATCAGCCCAGAAAAGGGGTGTTTCTATTACCTGAGGAAATCAGAGTACTCCCAAAACAAACAGTGGAACAAACATCTCTTTTCCCTTTGCCCAGTGAATCTGTGGGACAACCCCCACAGATTCAGGGAAACCGCATACGACCTGAGGGGGTGAACCAACCCCAAGTCTGGGCTCATGCCACTCCTACAACCCAAACTCCCTATCAGCTCCTGGGACCCCTAAATACTCCAGTCCATCCCACAAAGAAGAAGAGGAGAAGGAGCGGGGGGAGAAGACCTCTGTAGTCTAAGCAGAATCACAACATGCTGCCTGTTGGTGAGAACAGGCCCCCAGAGGTTAAGAATTTCTCCTTGCTGGATAATGACGGGCCAGGATTTGAACACAGCTTCATCGGGCTCAAACACCCGCTACGCTCTGGCCACGGTAGAGCACCACCTCTACTGGAGTGCCGTCCTCTCCGAACTTAGATAAACACAACAGTGGGACCGCTCTTGCCCTACCGCCTTCTTCACATGTGGATGTTCTTTCTGCCCAACAAGCGTGTGCAGGAGCCAGGCCTCATCCTCTATTTGCACCCTGCAGTGGCCAGTGCAGAGCCAACCACAGACCAGGCCCTGTGCATTTCCATACTGAGGGAGGAATGGCGAGTAGCCATGAGGCTCTGGTACCTCAAGAAGCCGCCAGTGCTGACTCGTCTTGCCTAAATGACAAGGTCCACCATTCTGTGTTTGGTGCCCCCTAGTCACACCTGCAAACCAATGGCAGGAGGAAGAGCACTGGTCTACCTCCTAGCTTACCACACAATTTATGGAACTCACCAGCCAACAGGACATGGACTATGGGGTTTTTAATTCCAGCTGCTAAAAGTTACTTCTTTCTCTTGCTTCACCAAGCGCCTGTCAGTTTTTCTGGCCCTAATTTTAAGAGGTTAAGGATTAATGAATAAGAGACCACAGATTCTAGTCTGACCTCAGCACTGACCCTTTCTCAAGGTCGTAGGGCAAGTCAGGAGCAGAGCTGGGACAGAGGCCAGGGTGGCCAGGCCAGTCCCCTATCAACACCACTTTTGAGCAGCCTACCTCAAGTGGCCTGAGGTTCCTAGGGAAAAGTGACTGAAGACAAACCCAAGCCCAGGGTGGCTCCAGCGGGAAGGGTCAGGTCAAGGCTGCTCCTTCCTCCACTCTTCCTTAGGCCCCTCACCAAATCATGCTCACACAGTCCTGAACACCCAGGCCCTGGCAGACACTAGAGCCTCAAAACTGTAGCCACAAGCCAGAGCTGAGGACATTTTCTTGGCTTAACTGGACCTCAGGATCACATGGTGAAACTGCTTGGATGGCTATTTTGATCTATTGCCCTAATCCACCAAGAGAGGGCAGCCTAAACCAGACCACCTAAATTGGTCGGTACCAACCAAAAATAGCTAAAAAGCCATGCCCACCGGGCAAGCCTGGTCGGAGTTAGTTTAGTCTCTCCTTTGCCACTCTCCATCTCCCGCTACCGGCCAACAGGAAAATTTGGGGGGCATTTCTTCAGCTGCGAGGCGGTCTGGGTGGGGTGGGGTGGGGCAGGGACCACGGTTCCTGGAAAGCCAAGTCGGGAGGGACACCAGTGCTCCATCCGGGCCGCCCCAAGAGCTGCCCACCTGATTTGCTCAACTACTCGCCGCTTTTTCTGTCCTCGCGTCCATGGGCTCCAGGAAGCCTCCCTCAGCCTTGCAGGGCAGCTTCCCACATTCTGGACACCTTCTCTGGCTCCCACATCCCGCGCTCTACAGCCCAACGGACCGCAGCTGCGACCTCCCTAGTAACCCCATCGTGGCACCGCGGCCAGGTGTCGCCTCCTTCCAGCGTCCGGGCCCGTGTGCGGACTCTCCAAGAGCGACTCCCCGGTCCAGACCGAGGCTTCGGGGACATCGGCGGGGCCCCCACCCCCACCCGGTGACCCGAGCCCGGAGGCGCACTGCTCCTCCACGCGCTGCCGCATCCCTGGGGCACCGTGCGGCCCCGACCGCACGCTCTCAGCCCCTCACCTGAAGCTGTGGCGGACACCACCAGGCCCGCGCAATCTCACAAGCCAGGCCCTTGGGCGGCCGGTAGCGGGAGCGGTTGCGGTGGGGGCAGCGGCGGCAGCAGCTCTGTCCCGGCGTCCGCGCAGTCAGCCCGCGTGCCCTCGCCCCCCTGCCTGCGTCCGTCCCCGCCACGCCGCGCATGCCCGGCTATATACCCTGCGCGTCAGCCTCGCCCCGCCCCCGCCCCTAGCCCCGCCCCCTCCCCACCCTGCGCTCCCTGGGGCCTGCCACGTGGGGTCCCCGCTGGAGGGAGGGCTACGGACGGGAAGTACCGGTCCGCTGCCCGTTAGACCCGGACCTGCGCTTGGCTTGCCCAGGGCTTTCCGGATGAGCCCGCGCTCTTCTGTGCCTCGCTGCCCCAATTGGAGACCTTAGCTCGCCGAGTCCTAGCTTGGTCGGTTTCATCTTCTAATCGCGTGGTGAATTCCATTCTTCATTCACTGAGGCCCCACAGGCTCCTCCTTCCTCTGGAAACCTCCCATCAAGACCTTTCCCCCTTACGTGGGAAACTCTCAACCTGGCCTCCATCCCCCAGAAGTAAGACTGCTACTCACTTGACCAATATGTATGTATTTTAAGAATTCTGATTAATGTAAAAAACTTCTCATCCCTCCCCAATTCAGTTCTGAAATGTACCCCCAAAAGGGACGCACCCAGATGATGTTTCTTCTGCATTTTCCCACCAGCCAAAAGAACAAAAATTTCCTGTTCACTTGCTAAATAAACCATATTACTCTCTTTTCGAGCTAGATGTCACACCTCTCCCCCTAAGGAGCCAGATTTCTTAACCCAAAGCTGGGGAAAGTGTTAATTTTTGTGTGAGGAGCGTCCTAGGAGTCTCTTTGATGTGGGATAGTCCTATTGAGGTGGATATCAGGACTCGGAAATGCAAATTTCTTGAGAAAATAAGCCACCCGTTAAACTCCCATTGTTCTAATCTGCTGGACATCTTGATTATTTCCTCTACAGCTAAGCCAGCGGCCACCTGGGTCTAGGGGACCCAAAAGAAGGGCCTTCTGACAGAACTGTACCTAGTTAGTACTCACGTCCCTGACTAGCTCAATGGCTGGTGCCCAGCTGGCACTGGGTGTCTGTGCATTGGCACAGGGAAGGGGGACCACTTCCCCCTCTGCAGGTCCAAGGGAGAAGATGCCCAGGTGCACTAATGGCAAAGAGAGCAAACAATCCCTGGAGCAGGTGGCAGGAAGAATCCGGGGCTGGATGGCAACTTGTCCTTCAGGACTGGGCAGAGAGGGAAAGAGAGAGAGAGCACTGAAGCAAATGCCAGAACGGGTAGATTGTTTATGCCACTCTTGAAGCCACTAGCTTGGGCCCCGGCTTTTTCTAAAATTCAATTATTCTCACCCTGCAATTACAGTGCTCCAGTTGGGTAAGGGGTGGGGTGATGTTACATTTTCCAAGCGATTTCAAAAGTAATAGTATCTGTTGCAGAATTTCCCTCAGAGCCCGTCATCTTTGTAATAGCCCTTTATATTTGTCTTTCTTGGTTAAACATGGAGTGTTTTTCAGACATTATGTCATCCATTTGGGATTCTTAATCCCATCTCCAATGGGGCTGTCAGAAATGGTCCAGTCTGTACCACTCCTTCCTGTCCTTAATTTTGGGAAAAGGCATGAGAAACTCACCAGAGATTAAGTAAAACAAGCATGCTTCTAACACAGAGAGCTCTGAAAAGTACGAAGGCCATAAATACATATTACAAAGGGTGTGAATCTCTTCTGAAAATTGAGGTCCAATCCCATGGTTTTTCCAGGCCAGGTATCAATACTACCCACAGGAAAATAAAGCACCTGTCAGAGAGACCAGAGGGGCGGCAGGACAAGACACCCACCACAGTGCCTATCACAGCGTTCTCTGCTTGTTTGCAACCAGAGGAAGGGTAGAGCTGCCAAAGTCCACCAAAGCTGATAAGCTATCAGTAACCCATTAGGGGAATACAATTAATTATTAACACAGCTTGAAATCAAAAGGTCTTAACTCTCCATATCCACCCCCACACAAAATTCTGTAGGTATACCCTGACCAAGTCTATCCTTGTCGTTGAGTAGTTAGTACTCAGGCTTTCACACCTAATGCCAGGTTTGGGGTCCCAATTCTATCTTTATCTTGACCTAATATGCCCTTTTTTCCTCTTATTACCCCATTTCCACTTGTCAAAATTCTAACTCTTCAAAGCTACCTCCCTTCAGAAAGCAGCTTGATTCTTCTGAAGCATATTTTATCTGTCCTTCCAATTTTTTTTTACTGTAACCCACATTAAAAAATATTTTACACTGCAACTCCAGTACAAATAATATAGCAATCATAAATTTTACACAATTTGCTCAGTATATTGCAATGTACTGATATTTTGTATTCTATTTCCATGTTTTAAAAAGTGGTAACAAAACCAAAAATTGATTTCATGACCCATTACTGTCATAATTCACAGAATTAAAACATTTTATAGTTAATGTACTTGCATTTTCCCCCTAAAATTATTTTATTTCTATCCCTAATCTCATTAGACCTTAATCTGTCTTGATTACCAAAGATTTGTGTAGAACTGCATCCACTAACATAACATCTTGCACATAACAGAGTCTCAACAAATATTTGTTGGATTCATGAATAGGCCAGCTCACTAAGTTTGATGTTGGGCAGTGTTTAAGGGAACGAAGCACAAAAATCTGACACTTTTTGTGACTGCTATTTCCCTTCTGGCAAGATACCACAGCTACCTGCTGCTGCAAAAAGATATGCAGAGAGATTTCCTACAGCCTGAGGGAGTGGAACAGCCTTGGGAAAGAAGCCAGAGAAATGAGCCCCCCAGCCCTGAGTGTGTATGGGGTGGACTGCGGACTCAGAAAATCAAAGCCCCTCTGTGGTTTGTGTCAACAAGGTAGGCAACTAACTTACTTACCAGCAGGCTGGGGCAAAGACCCCCTTTCCACTCCCCAGCTACCAGGCCAGCTCAAGAGAGACTGAAGAGAGAAACCCATGACCAGGTTTCTGTGATACTTTTAAGGGGGGAAATGAGTTTTCTGGTTTGGTATGGCTTAACAAATGTAAGAGAGTCAGAGGGAATGTGAAGGTTCTAGTTTACCCAAAATCAAGTCTGAGGACCAGCATCCCACACTCCACCAGCCAAACGAGTTAGAACACCTTTAGAAGCCTCGATGGCTTCTGTTATCTGATGGTTTTGGCAGATCAAGAATTGGGAAAAGTAATGCTGGGTTCAGTAGCAAGTTATCTCTAGGAATTTTATTTGTCCATTTCAGCTATGATACCTAAATTGTTGTCGTTTAATTGTTCATATCATTCCCTTATAGTCCTTTTTATTTCTGTAACATCAATAGTCCCCTTTTATTCCTGTTTTTAGTAATGTCTTTTTCTTCGCCAATCTAGCTAAAGGTTTTACCCATTTTGTCAATCTTTTCAAAGAGCCAACTTTAAGTGTTGCTGATTTTCTCTACTATTTTTCTATTGTGTTTCATTAATTTCTGCTCTGGTCTTCATTAGAAAATATTACTTTTGTCATCATCTTTGAATTAATGTTTAGCTAGGAACAGAATTCCAACCTGATGTTGCATGAAGTTATTATTCCTTTTGTCTTAAGCATCTGCTGTGGGTGATGACAGTGTGGCTGGTTTGATGACCTTTCTTTGTAAGCAATCTCTTTCACCTCTGGTTGTTTTTGTTTTTAAAGATTTTATTGGGAAATTGGGAGAGGGGAACAGCATTGGGGAATCAGGGAAGGGAAACAGACAAGTTGCTGTCCTTTTGTTCTTCAGTCTAGTTGTGGATGACGTCGCTTCATTGGTCCATGTTGATATTATCATTGTGCTCTTTCCGGGGAGGCAGATCGGTTGCTGGTCACTGGACGGCCGCTCATGGCGGCTCTTGGCAGCTCACGCCGGCTGCTGGCCGCTCACGGTAGCTTACGGGAACCCACTGCAGCTCCACTGCAGCCTACGCCGTTGCCGGTGACTTATGGCAGCCCAGCTCCAGGTCGAGCTGTTGTTCACCATCTTAGCTGTAGAGGGTGCAGCATCACTGGCCCTAATGTGGGATCCGAACTGGGGCCTGTTGCTCAGAGCTGGCGTCCCAAGCCAACTCTTAACCAACGTGCCACTCGGCCGGCCCTCCTCTGCTTGTTTTTAAGATTCTCTATCTTTGGTGTTCCAGTGTGTCACTTGGATAAGGGTAGTGTCACTTGGATAAGGGTAGGAGTGGAAGTGCTTTTCTTTCTTTTTTTTTTTTTTTAAAGATTTTTATTGGGGAATTGGGGGGATGGGAACAGTGCTGGGGAATTGGGGGAAGGGGAACAGACAAGTTGCTGTCCTTTCGTTCTGCAGTCTAGTTGTGGAGGACGTTGCTTCACTGGCCCAAGTTGGCACCATCATTACGCTCTTCCCGGGCGAGGCAGATCAGTCACCGGCTTCTGGACGGCCACTCACGCTGGCTGCTGGCCGCTCACGCTGGCTGCTGGCTACCCACGGTAGCCCATGGCAACCCACTGCCACAGGGACTGCAGCCTACACCATCGCCAGCGACTCACGGCAGCCCAGCTCCAGGTTGAGCTGTTGTTCAGCATCTTAGCTGTGGAGGGCAGTGTCACTGGCCCTCATATGTGGGATCCGAACTGGGGCCCTCTGGCGTCCTAAGCCAGTTCTTAACCATCGCGCCAGCCCAGATGTGCTTTTCTTGATCTTCAATGAGTTTCCTCAGGTAGAGGATTCATGTTTGTTTCTAATTCTGAAAAATTCTGTCGTTGTCTTCCATTGTGTTGCTCATTCTTTCTATTTTAACTTGCAGGAACTCCTATTAGGCAAGTGTTGGACCTTCTCATTCTCTCCTCTCCTCTTTCATTGTTCCCATTTATACCTCTCTGTGCTGCAATCAAATTGGCTTAGTATTTGCTTCTGCAGGCTTCAGGGCTCTCACCAGTCCAGGCCAATCTTTGTGGTTAATTTTTCAGCTTGTGGACTCCTTCATGCTAGTAATATAAATATGGACTACACACACCTGTATGTGAATGCCTTTTTACCTCTGAGTTTCCTTGCTGCTGCCCCAGGATGGTTGGCAGGGACGTTCTACTCCCCTTCCAGGCTCCAGCTCTCTTCCTCCAGGAGACTTCACTCCAGCTATTGTGCATCTCACAGGGTATAAGGCTTCATCTTCTAGCCTTTCCTAGAACGAAAAACCTCAGTGCTCCTGCATTTTGTCCATTAACCCTGGCAGCTGTGTTGTCATCAACTATTACCACTCCGGCTGCCCTTTCTGTCTTGGACCTTGATATTCTCCTTCCTTCCTTCTTCTGTCCCTTGTTCCATTTCCCCCAAATTCAGGTACTTAACAAAAAAATATTTTCCTATTCTGGCCAACATTTGTCAGTATGGTCAGCTCAGCGTGACATGCTTCCAGAAGTCTCCCTTGTTTACTCATTAAAAAAAATATGTATTTTTAGAGCAGTTTTAGGTTCTCAGCAAAACCACAGGAAGTAGAGAGTTCCCATATACACACAGCCTCCCCCACCATCAACAACCCCCACCAGGGTGGTATTTTTGTTACAACTGCTGAACCTCCACTGACACATCCTAATCACCCCAAGTCCATAGTTTTTACCTCAGGATTCATGCTTAGGCTTTCACATTCCGTGGGTTTGGACAAATGTATAATGCCATGTATCCACCGTTACAGTACCACACAGATTAGTTTTCCTTGCCCTCGCAATCCTGTGCTCTGCCTATTCATCCCTTCCTTTCCCCTAAACCCTGATCTTTTTACTGTCTCCATCGTTTTGCCTTTTCCACAATGTCATATAGTTGGACTCACATAGTATGTAGCCTTTTCAGATTGGCTTCTTTCACTTAGCAATATGCAATTAAGTTTCCTCTATGTCTTTTCATGGCTTCATACCCATTTCTTTGTAGCACCGAATAATAGTCCATCGTTTGGATGTACCACAGTTTATTTATCGATTCACCTACTGAAGGGTATCTTGGCTGCCTCCTAGTTTGGGCAGTTATGAATAAAGAATGAAGATGCTATAAACATCTGTATACAGGTTTTTGTGGGGACATAAGTTTTCAACTCATTTGGGCAAAATACCAAGGAGTATGTTGCTGGATCGTATTGGTAACAGTATGTTTGGTTTGGTAAGAAACTGCTAAATGGTTTCCAAAGTGACAGTACCATTTTGCATTCCCACCATCAATGAATGGGAGTTCCTATTGCTCCACATCCTCGCCAGCATTTGTTCTTGTCAGCGTTTTGGATTTTGGCCATTCTAACAGGTGTGTAATGGTTATCTAATTTTAATTTGTAGTTCTCCAATGACATATGATGTTGAGCGTCTATTCATGTTTATTTGCCAACTGTATATTTTCTTTGGTGTGGGATGTCTGTTCAGGTCTTTTGCCCAATTGTTAATCAGATTATTTTCTTAACGTTGAGTTTTAAGAGTTCTTTGTATATTTTGGATAAGAGTCCTTTATCAGATATATCCTTTCAAATATTTTCTCCCCGTCTGTGGCTTGTTTTCTCGTCCTCTTGATTTTCCTCTTTTAAAGAAAGAAAGAAAGTCCACACAGGAAAAGCTACTAAGACACTCAGACAAAGCTAGCAATAGAGCCACAGAGAGAGAACAGGGTCTTCTCCAATAATCCCAAGTCACTGAGAAATTTCAGGCACAAAGTTTCACATTTTCAATATAAAGCGCTAGTCATTTGGAAAACTTTTCTTTTTCACACCATTCAAAAAAACGCTGCCCAACTAAAAATGGCCCTGTAGCACTATATAGAAATTAGGTTCTTTCTAGAATGAGTTCAAAAAGCTCCGCATCATTTAAGAAGTTTGTCGGAGTGTGCATGTAAATGAAGCACTGTATCATTTAATGAGTTTCTAAGTAAGTAGAATGGGATGTAGTGATGAAGCAAGCAGCCAAAGTGCTTTGGGAAGGTATTTTTAAGGGTTGTATACACACCATGAAGTGCATGAAAAGAAGAGCAAGCAGTAGAAAAAGAGGAGGGGGAGGGCCACCCTTGGGAGCTGGCTCTCACATAAAACTAATAAAAACTGTCTGATGGGAAAAGAGATTTAAAAAATAAGACAAACACACACATACACACAAGTGCCTAACTCTGTTCCAGAAGTAAGGCTGTTAGTGTCTTTTCCAAGAAATCTTACTACCCAAGTCACAGTGAAATTACCTAGCTACTGATACTGGAGTTGCACCTTGCATGCAGAGTAATAAATTAATAATTCTAGTAATAAATTAATAATTCAAGTATTACAGCTCTATGAAGGAAAAACCTGTATCAATAACACTATTTCAAACACAATGGCACATTTATACACATTTGCTTTTATTTATTTCCCACCTGGTGACCCAATCATTTCACATTAAGACTGGAAAACAAAGCAAGAAAACCAGGAGTAAAAAGTGAAAAAATTTTTGTAGACTATTCAAATATTTGCCTTTTCTGATAAGAGAAAAATGAGTATTAGGAAATCCAACTTCCAAAGAGAAATTCAATATGCTTCCAGAGAGAATCAGAAAAGTGATCTGTTAAGCCAGAGACCTGTGCTCCAATTTGTTTGATTCAGTGGTTTTAAAATTCCAGGTCTCTGCCTCCCCCAATGTCCCAGGCTCCCAGTGTAACCAAGAGTGCACTTGGGGACCATCAACACCCAGCACTCCTCAGCCCCCGCTGGGCGCTGCGACAAACTCACACCTTGCTTGGTTTTCTTCTTCTGAGGAGTTTCAAGCTAAAATTTCTTTCCTCACACACTGTCATATAAAATGGAATTTCTGTTTCGTCCCTTCCCTGCCACCATGCCAAAAAATAAAATAAAATAAATAAATAAATAAATAAATAAATAAATAAATAAAAGTTTGCAAAGCTTAAATAAAACTAGTTTTAAAAACCGAGTTAAAGCAAGGTAAGACTGAAGTTACCCTGAAGGGACTGGAAGACTTTAAAACAGGGAAAATAAACACAAAAAACAGTGCTTCCCAAAACACTGCAACCCACAGGCATAGTGATAACTTTCTAAACTGAAATGTCTGGACTTTGGCAGGAGTGTCATGTTTTCCAAAGTCAAGTTCTGGAAACCTTAACCTGGATTCAGAAAAATTCCTAACAAAACGAGCCAAGAGCCAGGAAGAGGTTATTGGGCAAGGGAAATGAGTGATTCAATTCACAAACAAACCAACAGAGAAAAACGCCACACGCCTGGGAGAAATGTTCAAGAAAAAGTCACATCCCATCATAATCCTTCCTTGCTGTTGAATTTCACGTGTTGTGATTCCTAATCTAAAACCTGAAACTTACTAAAGATCAATAGTAAAGTGTAAAGGTGTGTGTGTGCATCTGGGAGGTAGGAAGGAAATCAACACGGTCTACCGTAGTAACTAAAATAAACAGAAAAACTTTATCTGGTCTTTCTCAGGAGGCCAACGGAGAAATAAATGCCCCTTTCAGTCAGTTTAAATCACAGGTGTCAGAAACAATTCCTGGAGATTAGGTCTGCAAGGGCCTGACTATCCCACCAGCTGGTTTTACTACACGTCTTTCACACTTGCCAGCAACAGTCATATCTTGAAAAATTTTTGCCTTCCAGGCCTTTTTATGACTTTTCTCAGTTGCTCAAACAAAGTAACTCTCTACTTTAAGGAACATGCAGTGACCTCATTCATCATTACTTCTGGCACCAGAAGTGAGAACTGCTTAGTAAGCAGAGCTTCCAGGTGTAATTGCAGCTTCTGGAGGTTTCTACAGCTCCTGTTGGCTTTGCAGGCTCTGAAAGGTTGCCCCGTATTCACCCATTCCATGTACACAGCAGCAGTATCACCCCCATTTGCTCTATAAAGGCAACAAGGCAATTTCCAGCTGATACTTGGAATGGAACGTGCTTCTTGATGATACCAGGTTTAAAATAGAAATAAAGGGAAAAAAGATGTCTTATTCTACTGGGTTGGAGAAAGAGAAAACATGAACACAAAAGTCCCTTCAGTCTGTGTTGATCCTGCATGAATCACAGCCGAGTCCAGAAGTCTAACTTCTCTACCCAGCCCGTATCCTGGTCGTCCAGTCACAGAAAGAACAGGTTCTCGCACAGCTGGATGGCTGGTTCATGATGCAAGATTTGTCCTGACAGGAAAGCTAGCTTGTGGGCATACTTGCAAGGAGCTGGAACTCTGATGGTACCCGGCCAATTCCAGTACATGTGGCATAGTTTGAAAGTCAACCTGCAGCCAAGAAGAAAATACAATCCTGATGACGCTTCACCTTCAATTTGGGGCATGATTATGTACTTATGGGTGCATACTTTCCAGCAAACGGGGGGATTAAGGAATATATGATGCAACTTTTACTTATTTATTTTTACATGATGCAACCTTTGGGAATAATTTTTAAGTAGAATTGTTTCTGTTTCCACCATTTGTAAGTCAGGAGGACAATTTAGTCCTCAAGTCAGTAAGTCACTTTAAGTGCTCCCCCCCACTCATTTTTCTACCAAAACAAGGAAGAGTTTTGTTTGTTTGTTTTGCTTCAAGAAGAGCCTGCAGAAGGATAAGTACCCCAGCAAAGTATTTATATAATCTGAGTTTAAGGGCTTTGGGTCTCAAATTGGGTTGGATGTCAAAATCATCCAGAGCAGTTTTTTTTTTAAGATTTTATTGGGGAATTGGGGGGAGGGGAACAGCGCTGGGGAATCGGGGGAAAGGGAACAGACAAGTTGCTGTCCTTTTGTTCTTCAGTCTAGTTGTGGGGGACGTTGCCCCACCGGCCCAAGTTGGCACCATCATTGCGCTCTTCCCGGGTGAGGCAGATCAGTCGCCGGCTTCTGGACGGCCGCTCACTGCGGCTGCTGGCCGCTCACGCTGGCTGCTGGCTACACACGGTAGCCCATGGCAACCCACTGCCACAGGGGCTGCAGCCTACGCCGTCGCCGGCGACTCATAGCAGCCCAGCTCCAGGTTGAGCTGTTGTTCAGCATCTTAGCTGTAGAGGGCAGTGTCACTGGCCCTCATATGTGGGATCTGAACCAGGGCCCTCTGGCGTCCCAAGCCAGTTCTTAACCATCGCGCCACTTGGCCGGCCCCAGGGCAGTTTTTAAAAATATAAATGCCTCAGAATGGTTGGGGGTGACTCCTCGGACATCAGTACTTTTTTTGAAGCTCTTCAAGTAATTTTATTTTTATTATTATTTTTTTTTTAGCTGAGCCATCCTGCCACCTGTTGGCAGCTCAGCAGCTGCTCAGCTAGGGCCGGGACTCGAACCGCTGTTGCTCAGAGCTCAAACTCTTGAGCGAGCTCTTAACCAACTGAGCCACTTGGCCAGCCTCTTCAAGTAATTTTAATGTACAACAAGGATTACCAATCATTTCTCAAAAAGTTACCATTATCACGAAAGACATAAAGAAACTCAAGGGGTAAATATTCCTGGGGGTGGGCAGTGACTCCACCTTAGCTAGCTGTCCAGAATTATTTAACAGTGAGAAAGAGTGAGTTACTGGTCGGCTCACCTCTGCATATGATCAGGGCTCAGGTTTGCAGTGTTGAGAATACACACATAATGGGTAGGAATGCCACAACCCTGACGTACATGATGAGCAAGAAGGTAGAAGTCCACCCTAGTAAAGAAAAAGGACAAAGTAATGATATGGTTGGATTTGGCCAAATAAAAGTGGAAAAGGTCTTGGAGATCATTGTAGTCCCTTCACCTAAGGCTCTCAGAGAGGTCAAATGACTGGTTCAAGGACATAGAGGGACCAAACCATGATTAGAACTCAGGTCTCCTGACTTGACAGGCTATTCCAGAATGGTGGTAGAAACTACCATTTCTGTGTGCAGAACGTTAAACATGTATGAGCTTAGGGAAAGAAGTTATGTTCAATATTTTATACTTAAGAAATAAAAACTTTATTATTGTTTTTTTTCCTAATAGTTTTTTTTTTTTTTTTAGCTGAGCCATCCTGCCACCTGTTGGCAGCTCAGCGGCTGCTCAGCTCGGGCCAGGACTCGAACCGCTGTTGCTCAGAGCTCAAACTCTTGAGTGAGCTCTTAACCAACTGAGCCACTCGGCCGGCCCCCTAATAGTTTTTTAAGCTTTATTTTTTTTAACAGTAAACTCTGAGGATTCCATTCCACTCTCCAGGCAACCCACCCATTCCAATACCCAGTAAATGGATAACTTTCGCAACCTAATTCTTGCTGAAATGTCATGTTTTGTCCACTTACCACTCACAGCTTGTTATTGTATGATCTACCACAGTCCCAGGGGAGGGAGTCGTAAAGTGCTCCGTGGCGGCCAGGTACAGATTGGTGCTGATTTTCTTTTGAACTACGAATACCACCATCTTGGGCTGATAATTCTCAAAAGCTTCAAAACACTTCTGTAGCTGAGGAATCTCATAGTTGGCAACTGTCTTTAGCTGGCCGTCAGACACTCCATCACGGTACACCACGATCTTCTCTGGGAGACAGTGGTTCACCTGAAATGACACCTACTGAGGTGAGCGTGGAGCCCTGGGGCTAATGAGCACAGGCAGTGAGTGACAGAGCACTACCTGGGGACGCAGCAGATCCCTCTGACAGCTGGGCCCAAAGCCACCGTGTCAGAAGAGCACAGGGGGAGAAAGCTTCTTGTCATTTTTATACTTCCTCAGGGTAGTAAAACAGGCCTGGTACAGCAAAGGTTTTATAAAATATGAAAGCAAAATAAACAAGTTATGAGTCACATGCATATGGGTCATATTCAGTGTGAACAAAATTAGAAGGAATGGGAGGAAAATTATGGGCTGAATCAATCTTCCTTCTACTTGGATTTAACACTAATTACTGTCTAGGCCAAGAACAAGGTGAACTGTTAGAGAAATTCTAACATAGACCACACATCCCACAGATGGACCATCCTCACATTTTTATGTACCAGCAACATCCAAAGTTGCTAACAAGTGAAAGGGTCCTTTACTAAATATTATCCTACAATCAGGTATAATGTGAAACACATTTTTACTGTAACTAGTAATTAGCAAACTGTCCTCGGATCCAAAGCAAATCAAGTGCTGGCTTAAATCAGTTCAAAGAATAATTTTTTCCCCATTTGAGAATATAATTATGTTCTAGTCATGTTCAACTTCAACAGTTGGAGAAAAAGATGTTCCATTTTAAACCAGAAGTTCTCTGAAAAGTATTTTAGTTTAATTCACAGTTAATAATAAGTGACAGTTTGATTCTAGTTGAGTGCAGCTCATTCTTGGGTTTTGTTCACAAAACCTAAATTATCACTGCATTAAATATGCACATACTATATACATTCCCTATATGTTACTTACTCTACATGAAAATTTAAGTTTCATTTCAAAGAACCCTTTCTTAAAATAATCACCCAGAATTGTTTTGGAGCCCAAGTTCAGAATTGCAAATATTTTATAAATGTTCCTTTTTTTCTGAGAGAGACAACTTCAAGTAGTAAATTTACAAACATGTAATTGATCTTCATATTCCAAGATTAGAATTTCTGCCCCAGTTGGTAGCACTTTTTTGTTTCTGTGTTGGTTTTCACTGTCTAACATCTATTGCACCTTTTTTTGGTCAGAGCTTCTAGTTTCTTCCTGCCTCCAACAAGAGAGCCTTGTGGGGCTACTAATCGAGGTTCCTTCCCCTAATCTAGGCTTTCTCACCCTCAGCACTACTGACATGTGGGGCTGGATAATTCTTTGTTAGGTCTAGTTCATCTAGTCCATTCTCCTCACTACAGGATATTTAACAGCATTTGGACCTCCACCCACTAGATGCCAGTAGCAAGCTCCCCCAGTTATAACCCAAAATGTCTTTAGACACTGCCCACTGAGAGAACAAAATAGCCCCCAGCTGAGAACCACTGCACTAACCAAAGAACAGAGAGATGACTCAAGCCACACCAACAGAACATTCCTCGGTTGCTCTGAATCTTGAGCAGAGAATGAAAATCACTTGGAGTTTGGTCCCTTTGATGCGGGGCCCTTTCATGTCTCCTGTGCATATTTCCCAGCTTGACACTCAACCTTCTCACCATTCCTCTTAGACTCTCCACAATCCTATTAATCAATTCCCCTTTTGCTAAAGTTAGCACATTCCTGTGATTTCCCAAAGACCCCTAAATGATACGCTGTGTTAAAAAGTGGGTACCACAGGCACTTAGATATGGAAGAAACCCTCATTTCACAGATGCGGACACGCAGAGGAAGCACTCTGGACCTGGGGCCAGGCAACCTGGGACTGAGGCTCACTCTGCCGCGCTTCAGCTGTAATCATGAAGACTAAGTTTCCTCACTTGAAAAATGGAGATAAATGACCCCCTTGTACCTACTCAGGGTTGTTAAGAGGGATCAAGTAAATACACTGGGAGTGCCAAAAAAATGGATACACATGACTTGTGTTCATCTTTTGTTATCGGTATATATTGAGCATTACAATTTTAATACGGTTTTTTTTCCTTTCATAAAATGTGTATACATCTTTTGGGCAACGTGTGTGTGTGTGTGTGTGTGTGTGTGTGTGCGCGCACGCGCACATAATTTAAAGTGGTACACAGAATTGAGACTGAGCCTACATTAAGAGAAGGGACATAAGGTCACTGGAGTGAAAAACGGAATCCAATTCACTGGAAGTATTCATGGACATCACCTCTTTAAAATTTGCTAATGAACCACTGAGTGTGAGACACTACACTCTGCCCTATGTAAGCTTCCAGAAGTGAAAGACATGATTCCTGTTGTCAAGGACCTTAAAAATCTAGTAACAGTCAACAATGGTAACTTTTCTAGGTTATCTCATCCATTCTTGTCACTTCATAAATGATAAAAACCAAGCTCTAAGGAGGGGTCAGGATATGTGACATGTAAAGGTTAAATGTACTATATATTATTATAACACTTCTGTACATAAAACAATAAATTAGTGAGTGCCTTCAAAGCAGGGTTGTGCTTGTTTGGCTTGGCATCCCTAGAACTGGGTACAGTGCGAGGGTCAAGTAGAAAATAAATATCAGCTAAAAGCCTGAGAACTTTTTTTTAACGTGTGAACACACTTAATGTCCACTAGATATGAGTCATTGTGCTTGTCTCAAAAAATCAGAAAATTACTTCAATACTATCCAAATATTCATGGAACTCAAATTAGAACTGGGAGGCAGATACATAAAGCAAATGCTCTCAATACATTATAAATAACATAATTAAGGTGTAAGTAAAATGCTCTGAGAACAGAGAAGTATAAGACATTTATTCTCTGGAGGGAGAAGTGAACATTACACCTCAGGAAAAGGCATGATGAAAGAATTAGCAGACAATTCAGTCAGCAAAGAAGGGTAAAGGATCCAGGTAGAGCATGGGCAAACACCCAGACTGTGGCTGGACAAAGGTTAAGTAAATGACTGAAGACCAACCTCTATTATCAGTCCCACGTTTAGAAGATTACTCTGGCAACAATCTACAAAACAGACTGAAGATGATTAAGAATGAATATTAGGAAGGGCAGCCAGGTGGCTCAGTTGATTAGAGCTCTGGGCAACAGGATTGCTGGTTCAACTCCCACATGGGATGGTGGGCTGCGCCCATCCCCCAACTAGATTGAAAACGGCGACTGGACTTGCAGCTGAGCTGCGCTTTTCACAATTAAGATTGAAGGACAACAACCTGACTTGGAGCTGATGGGTCCTGGAAAAAAGCACACTGTTCCCTGAAAAAAACACACTGTTCCCCAATAAAGTAAAAAAAAAAAAAAAAACAAAAAACAGAATGAATATTACATCATTTCCAGTTCAGGATGTCAAAAGATACAGAAAACTTTCATTCCCATGGTAACACCACAAAAGTCAAAATAATATAAAAATCACACATATATATGGGACTATTAAAAACCAGCAGATACAGAAGGGCTTGATAAACTGATTTCCAAAAAAGAGGAGCCTTCACAGGTGAGCAGTGAATTTCTGAAGCTTCCAAGGAACAAATGCCAGGAGTGAGTGTGGGCAGCAAGAAGAGGAGGCCTGAGGTCCGAGGAAGTTTACCAGGTCAATAAGAGGCCAGACAGACGGGATTCTGGGGAGATGGCTGAGTAGGAAGCACCAGAAATCTGTCTCCCCACCTAGGTAACAACTGCACTGGCAGAACCTGTCTGGTGTAACTATTTTGGAACTCTGGAGTCTGTTAAGGGCTTGCAACTTCCAAAGGAAGACAGTAAATTGCAGTTAATACCAGCTCTTGGCACAATGGCAGCTACTACCCCCAACCCTCAGGCACATTTCAGGACCCTGTCCTACAAATATTAGGATCTGTGCTCTGACTTCTAGTTGCTGCTTCTGATTACAGAAGTGCAGACAGAGAGGCTGCTGGACATTGGTGTTGCACTTTCCCCTCCAGCTGAAGTGACTTCCAGTGGATTTAACAGGCTGATGCCAATCCTCCCCCACCCCTTCATTTTTCTCCTTTTCCTCTTTTGGGAGTCAGGCATTAAAGACGAGAACATTAAAAAACAACTGCATATGTGGGGGAAATCAGACAGTGACCACACATGCCCAGGGAAAGGCTCAGAAAAGACCTGAGAAGACCTTAAATTTACACTGCAGGCTGAGCCCCAGCACAGATACAGCCTACAACAATAAAAAAACAGTAACAGAAAAACAGCAACTTCTGGGGAAAGAGAAAAATCTCATTTCCAGAGTTACCACATTATTGGATTAAAATGTCATTTTCAACAAAAAGTCATAAGGCATACAGAAAAATAAAGATAAATATAACCCATTCAGAGGAAAAAATTAAATCAACAGAAACTGTCACTTTGAAAAAGGTCTGATGGCTGACATACTAGCCAAAGACTTTAAACAACCACCTTAAAGATGCTCAAAGAACTAAGAGACGATATGGAGAAAATAAACTGTGTGAAAAAAAAAATGGAACTATCAATAAAAAGAAAACCTAAAAAGTAACCAAAAATAAATTCTAGAGCTGAAAAGTACAATAACTGAAATAAAAAAATTCACTAGCCAAATTCAAAGGTAGATTTGAGCAGGCAGGAGAAAGAATCAGTGAACTTGAAGAGAGGACAATAGAAATTATTGAGTTTGAGGAACAGAAAGAAAAAAGATCTGAAGAAAAGAGCCTAAGAGACCTGTAGAATAACAGCCAGTGAACTAACGTACACATTGTGTGAGTCCCAGGAGAAGAAAGAAAGAAAAGCAGAGAGAACATTTGAAGAAATAATGGCTGAAAACTTCCTAAATTTGATGAAAGACAATAAGATAAACATTCAAGAAGCTCAATGAACTCTAAGTAAGATGAATTTAAAGAGACCCACACCAAGATACATTATAATCAAATATTCAAAAGCCAAAGATAAATGAAGAATCATGAAAGCAGCAAGGTAAAAGCAAATCATCACATACAAGGGATCCTAAATAGGATTATCAGCAGATTGCTCATCAGAATCTTTGTAGGTCAGAATGTAGTGT